ATATTAAAGTCTAAGAACACCTGTATATTAAGGTCTCAGAACACACCTGTATATTAAGGTTAAGGATTAGGAACACACCTGTATATAAGAGTCTGAGAACACACCTGTATATAAGGGTCTGAGAACACATATGTATATCAAGGTCTGGGAACACACCTGTATATTAAGGTCTGAGAACACACCTGTATATTAAGGTCTGAGAACACACATGTGTATTATAGTACAAGAGAACTCTTTTATATAGAAATTCACAAACATGCCGACCTGCATGTTAAGGTATGAGAGCGCACAGTGTACTTAAAAGAAGTTGACTGTGTATTCAATCACAAAAAGAACAAAATGTGAATGATCCTTTCATAAAATAACTGATCCATTACCAAAATTGAGCAGAATTCTTTGCAAGGTAGTTTTGATATAGGCCTTTACACAAATCCGACCCGAATTTTAAGAGACAACGATTCTATTTCCCAAATAGTGGCATTGACTAGAGATTTTAGGTTCGGAATTGTTAATGTTTCTTAAGAGTTGAGCTAGAATAAAGATTTTTTTCTTATTATATCTATTAACTCATTCACCCCTGAAATTTCATAATGAACTATTCCAACCTTTGAATTGGAAGAGTTCAAATTTGTCTTCGGGGTGAATGAGTTAAATACAAGTATGCACCAACATTGACCTGGAAATTTGCAACGCTTTTTAAATTTTAACTACTATATTTAAATCAAAGAAAAAAATACTTGATTAAGTATGAAAAACTGTTTTTAATTTGAAAAGATTGAATTATTCCAAGATCAAGTTTGTAGATAATTGAGTTATTTATTTGTCCAGGAGGATGCATGTAATAGACCCGATGGACAGATAGTTTTTACAAATTAAAGATTTACTTAGATGTGGCGGTAAACACAAAGTAAGTGATACAATCTTCCGTACATGAACCTCCAGGTGTTGGGGAAGGAAAACAGTAATTCTCTCTGCGTAATTGGATTGCTTTTCCATTGATTTTTCTCTTGGTTTTCAAGCGCAAGCTAAACACGTTTTGCCTGGGCTGGATTAAGCTTATCATGCCCTCATCGTGTTTTTAATAATTCATCCCCAATCCTCCTCGTCATTTCTATTGAAACTATATATTTGAGGTTTTTGTTGAGACTACTGACCTGATCGGTTGCAGTCTGCTTGCGCTAGTAGCTGCAATTGCCAGTGATATAACTGACTCAGTTTTCGGTGTCTTTGTGGAAAACTGTGTTTATCCTAGATCGCTGAGCGATCAGGTATCGGGCATGGATATCATTGCACAAGCGGTAATGTTGCTGATGAGCACACATGTTAATCTTGTGTAATTATTCATTTGGTGTAATAAAAGTTTGTTGTTAAAAGGAATTACAGTACTCATATTTTCCCTGTATTGATTTTGTATCTTGGCTCTGGTAGTGGTCACAACTATTTTTAACAGCATCAGTATACTGGCTGTGACTGGAGTCTAAATGGTCAAACAAAAGCCTGTCTAATGTAAATATGCACAGGTTCACATTGAAATATAACTTTCCAAGGATTACAGAAGCTTGGTATGTTTACCAGTGTCTGAAATGTTTTTTTTATTACCATTGTTGATTTTCACATCACAGATACATTTACTGTAGGGGAAATTACGTTACATGATTCGATCCTAAATAATGAAGTGTAAATATTTACAATGTTGGTCCTGGAGCTGATCTGTGAGTAAAGCTAACAGGCACTTAATGGCACATAAATGATGGAAGATATATTTTGAAAGTGATTGTTGTAGTTGTTGTCATGAATTTTATAATAGACCAGGGAGAGAGATTGTATGATTATCTCTGTAACTTACAGCTGTTCACCACAGCGCTTCCCCCACTGTTACTGACAATCATCATTCCACACAGATATAAAATGTAGCTTTAAAAGTGTTGCCATGGAGATTAAATGATACAAACTAGTAATAATATTGATTTATTTACAATATCAGGGTATTTATGTTTTGAATATCAATGCTCTAGGGGCTATATTCAATTCTGCTTGGGTTGAACAAGGAGACACACTGACTTATGTCTTTCAATGAGGCAATTTTTGAAAACTGTGTTGTCATGGCAATCGAGAATTTATCACAATATGTAGATTGTCAAAAGCAGTGTTGTACATGTGGGTGTATTGTGATGTGGGATACAAAGCTATAGCTAATGAAAACCTCAAGGAAAATCGTTAGTTTATCAGCTTATCCTGCAGGACCCAGCTACAAACACAAATGAATAATATATACACTGTACAGGCTCTGACCTTGGTTCTACCGTATAGACACTTGTGGATCTCAAGTGGGAGACGGAAGAAAATATTCCTGAAAAAAATACTATCAAAGAATACTAGGAAATTATGTACAGGTGATCAGATACACAAACATGGATACACGAATGTTTTATATGACATTTCTATGGGGAGAACCAAGTGTGCATGTATGTGCACAAAAATGATTGTCATGATGAATTAACAAGACTTATTTAAAGCTGTCAAAATGGCTGACTTTGGTTTTTTGTAAGTGAGATCTTCTGTGAGACATCTCATTGAAGTGATCTATTTACTGATGTTAACTTTTGATGGCTGTCACTGCATTGTAATGTTGTTCCCTGGTAAAGTTGTGACTCCAACAATCTAGCTATCACAAGTCTGGCGGAATTGTCCATCATAAATAACTTCCCGACAAAAGAAAATACACAATTTGACCTGGAAGAAGTTACACTAATTCTTGTTTATGAGAAGTCTGTATTTGCTGGGAACCCAGCCTAGTACTATGTCCTTCTTATATTTCCAATTGTGATATAGGGTACTGTGATTTAAAATTTAAGACACAGGCAGTATATGAAGAAAGTCATTGTGCTATTTAAATGCGCTGTGTTTTAACCAGGGGTATTGATGTCATTTTGGGCGTCAGTGAGGTAAAATGAGGAGTGTTGGGGGTTATTGAAGGTCATTATGTCATCCAAGGTGTCATCCGGTTTTTTCTTCATTTTTCTTTAACAGGTATTTTCTACCTGTACGTTACCTGCATAATCTCATTGTAACAGGTATTTTGTTGTAACCTTGTTCATTTTATCACATATGTGATACCTTAGCAATGGTAACACACTCCAAATCAATCTAATATTTAAATGGTACAATACATTATGATCAAAGGCTTCAGATACTTTTATTGGAGTTTTCCTGATCACATGATCTATTAAATATAAATCCTTACTGTGATTGATAATGCTTCAGTTAATAATGAAAGGTAGATTTTCCAGCTTATTTTTGGATCAAACTTCTAAATTTGGTACATTATGTAGATTTTTATGTAAATTAGGCTGCCCACACATGACCTCTATGAACTGTATGGTTGCATTACATATTATTCAGGTTTACCTGTATACCAGTCAGGGTTTTATAACTGTATACCAGTCAGGGTTATATACCTGTATACCATTCAGGGCGAGGAGTTTATAATTACCTGTATACCAATCCAGGCTAGGAGTTTACCTGTATACCAGTCAGGGCTAGGAGTTTACCTGTATACCAGTCAGGGGTAGGTGTTTACCTGTATACCAATCAGGGCTATACGAGTACATATCTACCTAGCAGTGCCACAGATGGCCTGAAGTCATGATGAGATCACATGATGGTGATAAGTACAGGATCAGCTGTGTATAAATCATCCCAGGTTTAGTGAGCATAGCTGATAAACTGGTTCTCAAGACATCATTCTTAACAAAAAATATCCTGTTTACTGTTAAAGATATATTTTATATATCCAGAAAATTCCTTGAATCCAGTTATTTCTGTCAGAACAGAAATATTGATATAAGTAATGTTTCCGTGAACATGATCCTTAAGTTTGAGTATTACTGACGACGTTGTATACATGATGATAATGTTTGAGTCTAATTGAAGGTGCCGTATATATGATGGTAATGTTCTAGTATTGATTAGGGCACATGTATATGATGGGCGTCTAGGGTGTTATGTAGATTTTGTGAAGACGTGTATCGTAGAAAGAGGTAATTTGTATCCAAAACCTGCTACAATTACATAGTTGCCATCATCATTACGACGATATGAAACAGGAACTGACTTCCACAGAAAATAAATTGTTTGGTGTTAATTTGACTGTTCTTGTATTACCCTTGATAAATAACTCAGTTATTGATTTAAAACGATGAACCATGTCAACATTTACATGTATTTGATGTGTTACATTAACACTTTAACAATGAAATGATCATATGGTCTGTATTTTGTAACTGTATTGTAAAAAGATGCTTTTCCACACCAGATGAAATCTGACCATTAGCTGTGTCCGTAGGTGTTGAAGTTGTGACACAACAATCCCAGTTTCTCTTTAGGTGTATATTGTACAATAGGACATTAATGTCTGGTGTGGCGGCAGTAAACGGGCCCAACATTATATAGAAGGTGTTGGTATTTTTTATCTACCCCGTTTGATGTAACTTACTCTGTAACTGTATTGACTAGAACTTGTCTAGGCCGTACACTTATAAACAGAATTGTTTAAGGTCTGCACTGTTTTATTACTGCTATTTACACATCTCGCTGTATTTTCTGGTTGCGGTGTCTCAGTGTAACCCTGCGCTAGTCGAGGTCCCATACAGTCCATCTATCATATTTATACCATTACAAACACATATTGACACCTTTATAATGCATGTGAAATCAATCAATACCACAGGCATTGGAGTCACTACTGTAACTAGTCCCTTATAGCTCCGTACTGGCACTCTAAGCAAGCAGATATGCACAGTAATATATTGGCTTTCGGAACGTTACATCATTATTCCACCTGACTGATGTTGAGGAAAACAAATCTCACGGCAAATTTAGCCCCAACAAAACCCCTCCTAGTGGTCAACCATCCTACCGCAAATAGGTCAAGTCAGAAATTGAAAGTGCATGAAGAAAAATTTGCATGTTTGTTATTGTTGTCTTGTTTTTTTACTTACTCGTTAGGGCTTCCCACATGTCATCACTGCGATCCTGTTTAGTTACGTCCACGAAAAGAAACACGAGAAACCAGAATATAGGCATTAAATCCATTAGGTGCCGGGGTAGCAGACAAGTAGGATTTCCATACATTGAGTAGACAGCTCACTAGCAAACAACATCAAAATATATAATCAACTTTTACATATAAAATGACAGCGTGGCAGCCTTGAAACTGCTGCTCTGTAAGCTTCTACACCTACATACAGACAGGTAGAATATAAACCAATACTGAGTAGAATTCTCTGGGAGAAACACACGTTATGTTTTTACTACACACACTGTGACTAGCAGTGACTGACTAGGCCATGTGCTATCCTTGTTTAATAATAGGACACATTCAAACGTGTGTATGTCAGCAACCAATCAGAAGCCAACATTCTCTGCTCTGTACTGATAGCCCAGCTGAGCCCTCTCCCACACTAATCAATTAAACCAGTCCTCTCAGTCTCGCCAGAGTTAACTCCCCTACTTCTCAGCAAATACAATGTACATATAGAGTTTTTTCTGTGTAGGAGGAAGTTAATGGAATCTGTTTCATTGGAGTTAAATGAGGACGAAGTCTATAAGTCTAACCAAGTGCTTGATCTTATTTTCAAAATATTGAAATGTCAGCGAGAACAGCATAGGTGTGAAAAGGTTAGAGTGATGTTGAAAAGGGAAAGTGGGAGTGTAAGAGATGTGATGAGATGGCTTCCAGATGTTTCCATATCAAAAATAATGGCAGGAAAATATTAATCGAATGCACCACTATCCAAAAGTAATTTCGATAAGCTTTTCAGAGATTTGAAAAAAAACACCTAAAGTACCTAAGAAATTCCTGAAATACATGTATCCCCTTTGATCTATGCAGAACAATGGAATATCTATATCCCCTTTGATCTATGAAGAACAACAGAATACCTGTACCCCCTCAATCTATGAAGGACATCTGAAATACCTAGCTGTACCCTCTCAATCCATGAGGGACATCTGAAATACCTGTATCCTCTCAATCTATGAAGGAAATCTGAAGTACATGTATCCCCTTGATCTATGAGGGACATATGAAGTACCTCTTACCCTCTGATCTATGAGGGACACCTGAAATACCTGTTTCTCCTTGATCTAAGATGGCACCTGAAGTACCTGTATACCTTGATCTATGAGGGACACCTGAAGTACCTGTATCCTCTTGCTCTACGAGGGACACCTGAAATACCTGTATACCTTGATCTATGAGGGACACCTGAAATACCTGTATACCTTGATCTATGAGGTACACCTGAAGTACCTGTATAACTTGATCTATGAGGGACACCTGAAGTACCTGTATAACTTGATCTATGAGGGACACCTGAAGTACCTGTATCCTCTTGCTCTACGAGGGACACCTGAAATACCTGTATACCTTGATCTATGAGGGACACCTGAAATACCTGTATACCTTGATCTATGAGGTACACCTGAAGTACCTGTATAACTTGATCTATGAGGGACACCTGAAGTACCTGTATAACTTGATCTATGAGGGACACCTGAAGTACCTGTATCCTCTTGCTCTACGAGGGACACCTGAAATACCTGTATACCTTGATCTATGAGGGACACCTGAAATACCTGTATACCTTGATCTATGAGGTACACCTGAAGTACCTGTATAACTTGATCTATGAGGGACACCTGAAATACCTGTATACCTTGATCTATGAGGGACACCTGAAATACCTGTATACCTTGATCTATGAGGTACACCTGAAGTACCTGTATAACTTGATCTATGAGGGACACCTGAAATACCTGTATACCTTGATCTATGAGGGACACCTGAAGTACCTGTATACCTTGATCTATGAGGTACACCTGAAGTACCTGTATAACTTGATCTATGAGGGACACCTGAAATACCTGTATACCTTGATCTATGATAGACACCTGAAATACCTGTATACCTTGATCTATGATAGACACCTGAAATACCTGTATACCTTGATCTATGATAGACACCTGAAGTACCTGTACCCCCTCAATTTATGAGGGATGCCTGAAATACCTAGTTCCCCTTGATCTATGATGAACACATGGAATACCTGTTTCCCATTGATCTATGATGAACACCTAATGTACCTGTACCCCCTCAATTTATGAGGGACACCTGAAGTACCTGTATATCTTTAACAATGTGTGACCCCTACAGTATCTGTACCCCCTTTATCAATGAGAGACCCCTACAATATCTGTACCCCCTTTATCAATGAGAGACCCCTACAGTATCTGTACGCTGTTTATCAATGAGGGACCCCTGTAGTACCTGTATACCTTTATCAATGAGGGACCCCTGAAGTACCTGTATACCTTTATCAATGAGGGACCCCTACAGTATCTGTACCCCTTTTATCAATGAGGGACCCCTGTAGTACCAGTATACCTTTATCAATGAGAGACCCCTACAGTATCTGTACCCTCTTTATCAATGAGGGACCCCTGAATACCTTGATCTATGATAGACACCTGAAGTACCTGTACCCCCTCAATTTATGAGGGACACCTGAAGTACCTGTATATCTTTAACAATGTGTGACCCCTACAGTATCTGTACCCCGTTTATCAATGAGGGACCCCTGTAGGACCTGTATACCTTTATCAATGAGAGACCCCTACAGTATCTGTACCTTTTATCAATGAGGGACCCCTGGAGTACCAGTATACCTTTATCAATACCTTTATCAATGAGGGACCCCTAGAGTATCTGTACCCCTTTGATCAAGGAGGGACCCCTGTAGTACCTGTAGGCTTTTATCAATGAGGACCCCTGAAGTACCTGTATCCCCTTTATCAATGAGGGACCCCTAGAGTATCTGTACCCCTTTGATCAAGGAGGGACCCCTGTAGTACCTGTAGGCTTTTATCAATGAGGACCCCTGAAGTACCTGTATTCCTTTATCAATGAGGGACCCCTGAATACCTTGATCTATGATAGACACCTGAAATACCTGTATACCTTGATCTATGATAGACACCTGAAGTACCTGTACCCCCTCAATTTATGAGGGACACCTGAAGTACCTGTATATCTTTAACAATGTGTGACCCCTACAGTATCTGTACCCCCTTAATCAATGAGGGACCCCTACAGTATCAGTACCTGTATACCTTTATCAATGGGGAACCCCTACAGTATCTGTACCCCCTTTATCAATAAGGGATTCTTACAGTATCTGTACCCCCTTTATCAATAAGGGATTCTTACAGTATCTGTACCCCCTTTATCAATAAGGGATTCTTACAGTATCTGTACCCCCTTTATCAATAAGGGATTCCTACAGTATCTATGATAGACACCTGAAGTACCTGTACCCCCTCAATTTATGAGGGACACCTGAAGTACCTGTATATCTTTAACAATGTGTGACCCCTACAGTATCTGTACCCCTTTTAACAATGAGGGACCCCTGTAGTACCTGGATACCTGTATCAATGAGGAACCCCTACAGTATCTGGACCCCCTTTATCAATAAGGGATTCCTACAGTATTGTATACCTTGATCTATGATAGACACCTGAAGTACCTGTACCCCCTCAATTTATGAGGGACACCTGAAGTACCTGTATATCTTTAACAATGTGTGACCCCTACAGTATCTGTACCCCTTTTAACAATGAGGGACCCCTGTAGTACCAGTTTACCTTTATCAATGAGGGACCCCTACAGGATCCGTACCCCCTTTAGCAATGAGGGACCCCTGTAGTACCAGTCCACCTTTATCAATGAGGACCCCTGAAGAACCGGTATACCTTTATCAATGAGGGACCCCTACAGGATCCGTACCCCCTTTAGCAATGAGGGACCCCTGTAGTACCAGTCCACCTTTATCAATGAGGACCCCTGAAGAACCGGTATACCTTTATCAATGAGGGACACCTGTAGTACAAGTAGACCTTTATCAATGAGGACCCCTGAAGAACCGGTATACCTTTATCAATGAGGGACCCCTGTAGTACCTGTATACCTTTATCAATGAGGAACCCCTACAGTATCTGTACCCCCTTTATCAATAAGGGATTCCTACAGTATCTGTACCCCCTTTATCAATGAGGACCCCTGAAGTACCTGTATACCTTTATGAATGAGGGACCCCTGTAGTACCAGTATACCTTTATCAATGAGGGACCCCTGTAGTACCAGTAGACCTTTATCAATGAAGGACCCCCGTAGTACCAGTATACCTTTATCAATGAGGGACCCCTGTAGTACCAATATACCTTTATCAATGAGGGACCCTCAATGAGGGACCCCTGTAGTACCTGTATACCTTTATCAATGAGAGACCCCTACAGTAACTGTACCCTCTTTATCAATGAGGGACCCCTGTACTACCAGTATACCTTTATCAATGAGGGGCCCCTGTAGTACCAGTAGACCTTTATCAATGAAGGACCCCCGTAGTGCCAGTATACCTTTATCAATGAGGGTCCCCTGTAGTACCAGTATACCTTTAGCAATGAGGGACCCCTGTAGTACCAGTACTTTATCAATGAGAGACCCCTACATTATCCGTACCTCCTTTATCAATGAGAGACCCATACAGTATCTGTACCCCCTTTATCAATGAGAGACCCCTACAGTATCCGTACCTCCTTTATCAATGAGAGACCCATACAGTATCTGTACCCCCTTTATCAATGAGGGACCCCTGCAGTACCTGTATACCTTTATGAATGAGGGACCCCTGTAGTACTACAGGGGTCCTCATTGATAAAGGTATAGAGGTACTATAGGGGTCCCTCATTGATAAAAGGGGAACAGATTCGGTAGGGGTCCCTCATTGATAAAAGGGGAACAGATTCGGTAGGGGTCCCTCATTGATAAAGCGGGGACAGATTCTGTATGGGTCTCTCATTGATAAAAGAGGTACGGATACTGTAGGGGGCTCTCATTGATAAAGGGGGTAGAGATACTGTATGGGTCTCTCATTGATAAAGTACTGGTACTACAGGGGTCCGGTCTCTCATTGATAAAGGTATACTGGTACTTCAGGGCTCCTCATTCATAAAGATATACAGGTACTTCAAGGGTCCCTCATTGATAAAGGGGGAACAGATACTGTAGGGGTCTCTAATTGATAAAGGAATACAGGTACTATAGGGGTCCCTCATTAATAAAGGGGGTACAGATACAGTATCCGTACCCCCTTTATCAATGAGTGTCACCTCCAGTATCTGTACCCCCTTTCTCAATGAGAGACCCCTACAATATCTGTACCCCCTTTATCAATGCGAGACCCCTACAGTATCTGATTCCTAAAGTATCTGTACCCACTTTATCAATGA